CCAAAGAAAGTGAAGACAAATTAGCGCGCTAACGCGAATCTGAACGCAAGTATGAAAATACAAAATATTGCATGGATAAAGAAGGAATAAAAAGAGATTGTCAATCTTTTCACAATGAAGGCTGTGTGGAGACTGCTTTTTAAATTTATAATAAAAGTTGGAAGTAAATATAAATAAAAAAACCTTGCATGAGTTATTGTCAAGGCACTTCCTCTCCACAAGAGGAATCAATGCTCTTGAGCCATGAAAGTGTGTCCAGCAGGTAAAAAAAAAATGATGTACTGTCTATGGCTTTCTTTTCTCTGCATAAAAATCAAAAGCAAAAAAAAAAATGCTGAAGACAGAATAAAAAACAAGGTGTTCCTTTTTTTTCCTGTGTTATTGTCTCTGAACCCTCCTTCAATAAGGGCAGAGGAAAAAGTAATTTCACAGAAAGGAAGACTGGTTGTGCGAATATAGATGGGCTGTCAGCAGCATGCAGCAACAACAGAAGCCAGCACAGCAACTCTACACTATATGTAGGCCATGTTCTGCTTGTTAGCTCAACACACATCAGCTTTGTTCTGCTCTGTTGAGTCCAAGAGCTTCTTGGCTAACAAGTGGCTAATATAATCCAATCAGCCCCAACAGACAGGGAATATCTCACACTCTTTGTCTCACCCCCCCCCCCACACACACACATATGTACTCTGCTCATCTGCTGTGTTGTGCAGTGCTGAGTGGCCTGACAATATATATATTATATATATATATATTTATAGATTACTTTTAGTCTTTTCCTTATCAGGTGTCCAGAGAAGAACAGATGAGAATTAGATACAGAGAGAGAGGGAGAAAAAGAATAAGTGGATTTGGACATCCTGCTGACCTTTCAGTTTGGCCATTCTACATTGCTTATTGGAACTTTTTTTTTATCTAGGGAGGGGTTGCTAGCTGTTGGGGTTCAGCTCAGTGCAGAAACACCCACCTGAGACCCCCAAAGGGGGTGTGTATGCATTCTCACCCATGAAAGAAAAAGAAGGGGGTGTTGGGTTGAATATTTATTTGCCTGCTTATACAATAAGTGTTTCCTGTGTGTCTCTTGTACTGTAACAATTTTATTTACAGTTGAACCTCTGCAAGTAAAATGAAATTGAGTTAGTGAAACAATAATTTTTGTTGGAGTAAAAAAGGATAATTTCAGGAAATTGTAATTGGTGAAATTTTGGGCCTCAAATTGAATTTTCTAAGTAAGTTTTCAGGATTTAGTCCTTGAATTTCTTTAAAAACACATCAAGTTAAATTTTGTATGGATTTTTCATGTATCAATGAATTTATAGCCAAAAGGCCCCCAGAAAAAAATTACTGATGGAGGTTTTATGGGATTAAAGCCTTTGATTTAGGTTTTTAATGCATTTTTCCAAAGTAATTTAGACTGGGACTTGAAAAAAAAAGTATTGATTTAAAGTGAGGTTTGATTTTATTTCATGTGTCAATGAAATAATAGCCAAAAGGCATCCAGAAACATTTTACTTATGGATGTTTCCTGGGGGGAGAAGCCTTTGATTTAGGTTTGTATTGCATTTTCCCCAAATGAAATATGATTGGGACTGGAAAAAATTTTGGCATAAAGGGAGGTTTGAGTTTTTGAGGTTCAACTGTATTATTTACAATAAAGTACAGTTTACATATACTGTATTTGCATAGAGGGTATTTTAATGTTGTGTGTTTCATGTGTCTTTTTTTCTTTTTTGGTGTGTCATGATGATGGTTCTCTTTGTAATTTTTTTTTCTTTTTGTTGGGCTGCTGTTTTCATCCTCTTCTTTTCATGCATTGCATGCTGAATGTGCTTGATGCAGCTGGAAAGGACTCGGCATTCCTGGGAAGTGCATGTGTACACCAGTCCTACTTTCTGTGACCACTGTGGCACCCTGATCTATGGGTTCCACCCTGAGGGCTTCAAGTGCTCGTGTGAGAGAGGCAGCTTGTACCTATAGACTTGGCATTTTATTGTACATGATTCACAATGGACAATGTTGAGGGAACAATTTGATTATATTGTACTTGTATGTGCACCAGCAAATTTTTTTTTGGCACACCTGCTTCTTGGATAATGAATAATTTTTTCTTCTTTGTTTTGTTGATTGAAAAATAATTGATCAAGTGGAGGCCCCAACATGCGGACAAGTGGCTTCGGGACACTTGGAAACACATCATTGGGATACTGTTTTTGAGATGTGGACACTTTGCTGTAGAGTGTAGAGGAATAATGGTCAATATATATTTTTTCTCCATTGTGATATATCTCTTGAAAAAATTGAAGAAATTATACTCACAAAAATTAGTAAATACAATTTATCATGAATTCTTTCTAATTCATGATTAGAAGCAGGTTAATGTTGTGTTTCTCTTTTTTAAAGTTATTTTTCTCCATCATTTGTGTAAAGTAGAGTAAGTCTTGTTTTTTCTTTCTTTTCTTTTTATGCCAAAATATTAGAATGTGGTTTAAATTCTGAGAATTTATTTTGTGTCATTTGAAGTTCAGACATTTTTTCTTCAATTTTCAGGGAGAAATTTTAGTAATTGTTTTTAAGGAAGAGAAGAATTAATTGAATGTTTTCCCATTGAAGTCTATATTGGGGAAAATGTGATCCAACATGTGGAGTAAGATTTTCAACCTTTCATCAAGTTTATACTTAATACAGGCGTAGAGCCCCGGGGTGAGACTGGTAAATGTCAGATCACATTAGAAGAGTAAAATTAATAGTTAAATAAAAGAAGAGACCAACTTACGCTTGAATTTTTGCGTATTATAAAAAACGTTTTTTGCGGAACGACGTATAAAAAAGTTTGCATAAAAGTTGTTTCTTGTTGCCTGAGGCAAACATAAAATTAATTTGAGACGCAACATGTTTTTGAAAAATATTTTCCTGATTAAAAGTGGTGCAAATTTTTTCTAGGCCCTCGTCCAATTCTGCACTTTTATATTGACTATCGCAGCTTTATTTTGCTTAATACAGTATTTTGACACGCATGTAAAGGGTGGGAAAAAAAAAGGTGAACCGATTTTTGACTTGAAGTATATTCCAAGTAAAAGTATAAGTATAAGTATTGTGCAGCAAATTGAGTTGAGGAAATACAAAAAAAAACAGACAGCTCTGGAAAACAGCAGCTTAGTAAATGGAGATGTCTGACAACTATGATTTTTTTGTAAAGTTTTAAATTCAGATTTTATTTGTTGACAAAATCGTGGGATTTATTGGAACCTTAACCAAGTTTACTGCATGTAACATTTAAAAAGGGATTATTGAACAAGCTCTGATTTGGTTTTTTTTCATTGCCAGCACAGCTCAATTTGCTGCTAGGATATACATTTCTAGTCAAAATTAGTTTACTTGGTTTTTTGGACCACCCTGTACATATACAAGTGCTGGGAAAATAACGCCAATGGAAAATTTGAAAATGAAAAAATATTTGCTTCTTAGTTTATTCACTTGTATATGAGATTGATAGTATTTTTTGTTTTTATTTTTTGTTTCTTATTTTATTTGTTTTTTATTTATTTGTTTTTTATTATGAGCTTGGTAGTATTTGTTGTTGTTTTTTTTTATCACAGCTGTGCGTGCATGAGAGGTTTTTTTTCCTTATATATGTCCTTGGTGTGTGTGCAAGTGTGTGTGTGTGTGTGTGTGTGCTGGTGTTGGCGTGTGTATGCTCTGTATATAGTCACGAATTGTGTAGAAAGAACCACAATCGAGTCAGGGTTGTGATGGTGGTTTTCTTCATATTGCAGTCTTTTTTTTTTAAAGTGTATTTGACATTTATTTTGCATGCACGAAAGCACTCTCACGCATTATTCAAAATAAAATATATACATTTCTATATATTTATATATTGTATTTTGGAAATCCGTTACAAGGAATCTCATTCAGAAAGAATTTTTAATTGGCGCCAGGGATTGATCTCTATATATATATAGGGACCATTTTTAAAAGTTTTGGTGTAACAAATTGATTTTTCGATCACTAATTAAATTCGTTATACTGCTGTATACACTGAGAGAATAGAGGAAACTTTGTTCAAAACAGGTATTGAAAATTTTTCATTACATTAATTGTTTCTATGGATTTGAGAAATAATTTGTTATCACGAGATTCGTTGTGACGGGATTTCTACTAGCAAAGATGATAGTATCAATGGTGATGATGATTGGTGCTTGCATTTACTTGATTATTACTATCATCATTAATATGCTAGTAATAAAAAAATAATAATAAAGATAACTTGCCTATTTTCACAAAATTTTGTTTCAAAGAAACAAAGATCATAACATCAAGAAAAATGATGATGAATAATGCCTGCATGTCTATGATTATCATCATCATCAATAATGTTATAATACAAATAATACTTAAATTATATTTAATGATACTGTAGTCATAATTTGGCCTATAAAAAAATTATCATAATAATTATTTTAAATATAATAATAATTATTATTTCTAATACAGTATAATAATAATTATTAATTTTTTTGGCCCATTTAAAAAAAATGGTCATAAAATCACAAAGTTTATTAAATCAAGGACAATGATGATGATTAATGCGTGCATCTCTATTATAATTATTATCATCATTTATATAAAAATAATGCTGATAATAATAATAAATAATAATTGTTATGATATCTGGCTTATTTACACAAAATTTTGTTTCAGAGTAACAAAGATTATAATGTCAAGGAAAATTATGATGAATATTGCGTGCATGTCTGTATGATTATCATCATCATGATATAATAAATATAATAAAAATATAACTAAATAATAATATTGATCATTTACCGATTTTCACAAACATTCAGGTTTAAAGCAACAAATATTAGCATATCAAGGAAAATCATGAGGATTAATGCGATCAAGCCTGTGATTATTATCATCATTAATATGATAATAATAATAATTATTATTATTATGATACTTGGCTCATTTTCACAAAACATTGTTTTCAAAGTAGCAATAAAGCTTCTACAAGGAAAATGATGATGATGATGATGATTATGATTATCATCATCATCATTAATATTATAATAATAATAATGATGATGATGATGATGATGATAATTTCCCACGATAATTGACAGCGTGTGATATGAACGTGCACAAGCGGTGCGAGGAGTCGGTGCCGAACCTGTGCGGCTGCGACCACACGGAGCGGCGAGGCAGGATCTGGCTCAAGATCTCCGCCGCCAACAACAAGCTGACCGTGGAGATCCTCTCGGGCAAGAACNCATTCTAAAAGTTGGAAAGTAGTTCAAATATGAATTATGTCCGCATCTCGGGGCCCCACTCTGACCATTTACAGTCTAGTGTAATCTTCTCATTTTAATTATCAATTTATTTTCTTCTCTGGTTGAAGCGCTTGTATTTTTGCGTATTTGTAAAAAAAATATTTTCAGGAAAACGAGGTAAAAAAAATGTTTGTAGAAAAGTTTTTTATTGTTGCCTGAGGCAAAAATAAATTTAATTCGAGACGCATCAACTTGTTTTGAAAAAATGTTTTCCAGATGAAAAGTGTGGCAAATTTTTTCTAGGCCCTCGTCCATTCTGCACTTTTATATTGACCATCGCAGCTTTATTATGCTTGATAACTTGAGACGCATGGAAAGGGTGGGCCAAAAAAAAAAAACTGAACAGATTTTTGACTTGGAAGTATATACATCAGCAGCAAATTGAGCTGAGGCAATAAAAAAAAGACAGCTCTGGAAAACAGCAGCTTATAGTGAATGGAGATGTCATGACAACTATAATTTTTGGTTGAAGTTTCCTTCAGATTTTCTTTTTTGACAAAATTGTGGGATTTATTGAGACCTTAAAACTGCATGTAACATTTAGAAAATGCATTATTGAACAAGCTTTGATTTGGCTTATTTTTTTGTCATTGCCAGCACCGCTCAATTTGCTGCGAAGATATATACATTTCTAGTCAAAAATTGGTTTTTTTTTGTGGCCCACCCTGCACATATACAAGGGCTGGGAAAATAACACCAAAGGGAATTTGAAAAAAAAAAATTCGCTTCTTAGTTTATTCACTTGTTTATGAGATAGTAGGGTAGAATTTGTTTTTTTTTAAATTACAGCTGTGCATGCATGAAGGGTATTTTCCCTATTTATGACCTTGGTGTGTGTGCAAGTGTGTGTGTGTGTGTGTGTGTGTGTGCTGGTGTTGGCGTGTGTATGCACTGTAAAGTCACGAATTGTGTAGAAAGAACCACAATCGAGTCAGGGTTGTGATGGTGGTTTTGTGTATATGCAGTCTTTTTGCTTAAAAAAAATATATATACTGTATATATATATTTGACATTTATTTTGCATGCACGAAAGCACTCTCACGCATTATTCAAAATAAAAGATATACATCTCTATATATTTGTATATTGTATACTGTATTGGAAATCCGTTATACAACGAATCTCATTCAGAAATAATTTTCAATTGGTGCCAGGGATTTTTCTCTGGGGACGATTTATAAAAAGTTTTGGTGCAGCGAATTGATTTTCCGATCACTAGTTAAATTCGTTATACTGCTGCATACTGAGATAATAGAGGAAACTTTGTGCAAAACAGGTATTGAAAATTTTTCATGACATTATTGTTTCTATGGATTTGAGAAATAATTTCTTATAACGAGATTCGTTGTTACGGAATTTCTAATAACAAAGATGATAGTATCAAAGGTGATTATGATTATTGCTTGCTTGCATGTACTTGATTATTATTATCATCAATAATATGATAGTAATAAAAACATAATAATGAAGAAAACTTGCCTATATTTCCACAAAATTTTGTTACAAAGAAACAAAGATCATAATGTCAAGAAAAATTATGATGAATAATGCCTGCATGTCTATGATTATATTCAACATAAATAATATTATAATAAAAATAATAATACTGTTGTCATAATTTGGCCTATTTCAAAAAAATTTGGTTTTAAAGTCACAAAGTTTATTAAATCAAGGAAAATAATGATGAATAATGCGTGCATCTCTATTATTATTATTATCATCATCATTTATATAAAAAAAATACTGATGATGATAAATAATTATAACCAATAATAATAATGAATAATAATAATTATTTTTATCTATTAATCAGGCTTTCTTCGCAAAATTTTGTTTCAGAGTAACACAGATTATATCGAGGAAAATTTTTTATGAATGATCTCAATAATGCCTGCATGTCTATGATTATCATCATCATCAATAATATAATAATAAAAACAATAATAGTCATAATTTGACCTACTTAAAAAAATTTGGTTTTAATTGGACAAAGTTCATTAAATCAAGGAAAATAATGAAGATTAATGCGTGCATGTGTATCATTATTATCATAATTTTATAAAAATAATACTTTTAATAATAGTAATAATTATTTTTTATCATTATGATATTTGGCTTATTTTCACAAAATTTTGTTGCAGAGTAACAAAGATTATAATATCAAGGAAAATGATGATGAATAATGCGTGCATGTCTACATGATCATCATCATCATCATCATCATCATGTAATAAATATAATAAAAATAGAATTGAATAATAATATTGATAATGTTCCTATTTTCACAAAAAATTTGGATTTTAAAGGAACAAATATTATCATATCGAAGAAATTTTTAATGATTAATGCGAGCAAGTCTTATGATTATCATCATCATTAATATGATAATAATATACTAATAATGATAATAATAATGATAATAATATTTATTGATGTTATCATGATACTTGGCTCATTTTCACAAAATATTGTTTTCAAAGTAGCAATAAAGCTTCTACAAGGAAAATGATGATGATTATGATTATCATCATCATTATTAATATAATAATGATGATGATGATGATGATGATAATTTCCCACGATAATTGACAGCGTGTGATATGAACGTGCACAAGCGGTGCGAGGAGTCGGTGCCGAACCTGTGCGGCTGCGACCACACGGAGCGGCGAGGCAGGATCTGGCTCAAGATCTCCGCCGCCAACAACAAGCTGACCGTGGAGATCCTCTCGGGCAAGAACCTGATCCCCATGGACCCCAACGGGCTCTCGGACCCCTATGTCAAGTGCAAGCTCATCCCCGCGGGCCACGACGGGGCCCACAACGACTCGTGCAAGCGCAAGACCAAGACCATCAAGGCCACTCTCAATCCCGTGTGGAACGAGACGCTTCATTTGTGAGTGCATCATGACATCAACACCTGTATATATGATGCATAGCAGAAACAAAAGCAAAAAAAAATAAAAATCAAATATATATATACATACTGTATATATAGTGAGACCCCGAGATGCAGACAAAATTCGTGAATCATCAAGAGTGTCGCCAAGTCAAAATGTCCCTATATAAGTCAAGTCTCATTTCCCTTAGACTTACATTGAATAATTTTCAATTGGTGTTCTATGGACAAAATATTACTCACCATAATTCCATGAAAATAAAAAATTGTCTCCCAATTTAAAACTGGTTCGATCAATATATTTCAACACAATATGCACATTTGGGGAATTGAATATGCTCATACCTCTGCTGTACAGTACATAGAAATGTTGGCATTCTCTGTGAAAGTATAACATTCAAGTGAAAAAGAGAGAAGGAAGTCCCTCTCGATATATGCTGGAGGTGATTTTTTTTAATTAGCTAAATGGATGATAAATTGGTGAGAGAAATGCCAAAGAACTTTTCTTACATCACATTTTAGGGTTGGAAATATCTGTTTCTTGTAATTTGGCTTGAAACTTATTTTCAATTCCATCCCAAAGTTTCCCTATGTGGAGTCAGTGTCCTCATGTCAGGCCTTTTTCATCAATTTTTTAATGAGAAAATCAGTGTCCCAATGTCAAAATGACTGCATGTCAAGGTGTCTGCATGTGGGGGTCTCACTGTGCCAATATCTTATGGGACACACTTTTGGGGATTTCAGAAAAAACAGGTCGCTCTTAATGATAATGATGGATGATTTTTTTTCACCATGATTTTTTCAAAATTGATGATTTATTGGGAACAATTTTTCACATCAATGAAACCTGCCTGAAATCAATGAGATCTTGCTTTTGTGGCATTCTTAGCTTTTTTAAAGGTTCTTCTGGCAGTTGTTGAAAAACTGAGTGATCTTTTAAAAATAGAAAAATAAATTCAATCATGCATTACATCAAGTGAACCACCAGACTCTTCATCTCTGTAGGATAATTAGTGGAACCACTTGGAGGTGAATTTGTCATTGATTACAGCTGCCATAACCATGCTAAAAGAACCATTCAGCCACATTTGGGACCAGGAATTTCAGACTGTGTTTGCTTCTACATGAAGAATCTGTTCAGCATTCCTCAAAAAATGTGTTGTACTGGAATTGGGAAATAGTTTATAAAGATCAAAATATTGCTTGCTCATGTGCTTTTTGTGGGTTTCCACTGGGACTTGAGAAAAGTTTGTTAAACTGAAAAATGTGTTGTTACGGTATTTGTTGTGATGAGATATTTTACAATAGTGTGTACATTATTGTAACAGTACCCAACTTTTTTGTTGGAACAGGAAATCTTTTGTGTTTCTTTTGTTCAGTGTGTAACAAAGTATGTCAACACCAATCAGAATTGGTTGTTATGTCCATTCTGCAACCTGGTTTGTCCAAGACTATTAATGCAGATGGCTTGTATATCTATACAAGCGTTGCCGCAAAACCTTGTCTGCATTGTTTTTCTCCACAATAAAATTGATCTCTATGGGAATTGAAATACTGTATATAGATACTTTGTCAAACTCTTTCTCAAAGTATTTTTTTGTATTCTTCAAAAGCATGTGGAAATTATTTAAACCTTTGAGACCTTGAGGGTTACTTGACCAGGTTAATTGGACATTATACACCAATGAGTGAAAGTAAAATTATCTTTTCAGCAATTTGAGCATGAATGATGGATATTTGCCTATGCTGGTTTACATAACAATATGCTGTAAAGCAGTGGTCCATGGACCAGTGCCAGTATACAGAAGCTTTTTGCCAGTCCTCAGGAAATTTTCTGCTTCATAATATAATAACGAAAGTAGCAATGAAGTCAGTTATTTTTTTACATTTTGGATTCACAAAGATTTTTTTAATGCTGGATACACAATGGAAGTAAAAAGTATCGGTCAAAAAGTGAAAGTTGAGGTTCTTCCTAATAGCATACAAGGCAAATTTCCACATGCTAAAATGAATTATTTAAATTTCCCATTGTGTTGAGAAACCTTTTTCAAGTCCAACCCTTCTAATTTTTTTCAATACACTCCCTTGAAGGGCTGTTTTTTGTTTCTTTGTAATTGTTGGGTGAAAAATCATAAACTTTCTAAATGCCTTCCATGAAGTCTTCCAAGTTTCAAGCCTAACTTTCAAGTCTGCAAACATTCTATGAAACTTTGCTGGTCTGCAGAAAATGTTATGGAAATTTGCTTGTCTGTGGATGCCCAAAAGGTTGGGGAACACTGCTGCTCAGTATTTCTGTATTTATTGAAGATAACATCTTGAATTTATAGCTGTGTTAGTCCTAATAATCCAATTATTCCCTCACTGCTAATCTGATTAGGTCATTTCCTAATTATCATTCAATTGCTGTTAATTTTCTGCAGCGACTTGAGGGCGGAAGACAGGGACAGACGGTTACTTGTCGAGGTCTGGGACTGGGACAGGACGTCCAGGAACGACTTCATGGGATCCCTATCTTTTGGCATTTCTGAGGTGACTTTATTTTATATTTTGATGTGTGTTTTTTCATTTTTGGCGTGAATTAAGCAATATGGTAAGAAATGAAGTGCTGGATAATTCTTTGGGCCACAAACAGGAAGATTTCCTGATGTAACCCCATATTTGTGCAAATTTCAAAAATTTGCAAATGAAAGCACCTCCAATCCAACCCTTGTTTTTGAGCTTCCAAAATTGGCAAAAAGGAGTGCTTATATTTGCATAAATACAATGTCTATCAAGGAAACACTTGCAAATTATTCAAGCATTGCTATGTCCAAAAATCTTGGAAAAAAGATAATGTTTAGTTTTGGAGAAAAATGCATATTTCAATTGCGATTTACCCATCAGTCACATTTTTTTCCAGTTATTCGCTAATTTCCTAATTATATTTGCTCTAAATATGCAAATGTAAGCACCCCTTTATAGTTTTCAAGTTTCTAAAAATTAGGGATAAAAAGGCGGTGCTTATATATTCTTTTATACAGTAATTGGGTTCACGAGTATAAAAAAATATGAATTAGTCTTTATTTTCATTATATCTATTGTGGACAGATAGTCATTGCAATATAAGTTGATGTCAAGTGTTGCTGCTATAAAACACAACAATCAGTCTGGGACAAGACCGTGTTTTGTTTACAGGATAAATGTATTTCACAAAGGTAATTGATAAACAACTCAGAAAACTCTTCTCACAGCTAGGATAAATTGGTTAAAGAATAACTCAACTCAAGTACTACTGATGACATGATTAAACATCAGTTGCTTATATATACTCAAAGATATTTAACCTTCATTAGTTTCCACTTTACATGACAGAAAAGACTTGTAATAGGTCAAGAATCTAGAGTCAAAGATGCTACAGTGCCAGGAATTACCTGGCACTGTAATTATGAGGAGGGGGAAACAATTTCTAGGAATTAAATAACAGCATAAATGTATATTTCACAAAAATAATTGATAAACAACTCAGCAACCTCTTATTATCTCAGCTAGGATAAATTGGTTAAAAAAACTCAACTAAAGCACTGATGATGATACAATTAAACATTTGTTGTTTATATATTCTCAGCAATATTTAACCTTTATGAGTTTCCACTTTACATGACTGAAAAGACCTTGAATAGGTCAATAATCTACAGTTTAAGATTTTGAGGAGGGAGAAACAATTTCTAGGAATTAAATTAAAGCATAAATGTATATTTCACAAAAACAATTAATAAACAACTCAGCAACCTCTTATTATCACAGCTATGATTAATTGGTTAAAAAGTAACTCAACTCAAGTACTGTACTGATGATGATATTATTAAACATCAGTGGCTTATGTAGTCAGAGATATTTAACCTTCATTAGTATCCACTTTACATGACAGAAAAGACCTTTAACAGGTCAATAATCTAGAGTTTGAGAATTTGAGAAGGGGGAAATAATTTCTAGGAATTAAATTAAATTACAGCATAAATGTATATTTCACAAAGCTATAATTGATGAACAACTCAGCAACCTCTTATTATCACAGCTAGGATAAATTGGTTAAAAAATAACTCAACTCAAGTACTGATGATGATTTGATTAAACATTATAGTTGCTTATATATACTGAGAGATATTCAACCTTTATTAGTTTCCACTTCACATGACAGAAAAGACCTTTAATAGTAGGTCAAGATGCTAGAGTCGAATATTTTGAGGAGGGGTAAACAATTTCTAGGAATTTATATATAATAATAATTAATACTTGCCCAACAATATCATCATCATAATTTCTCTCCCCCCCCCCATTTATTACTGCAGATTTTGAAATCAGCTGTGGATGGCTGGTACAAGCTCTTGACCCAGGACGAGGGCGAGTTCTACAACGTGCCAGTGCCGCCCGAGGGCACGGACTTGGGTTCCCTCAAGAGCCAGATGCGGAAGACGTCCTTCATGAAGGACAGACCCCCGGTCAGCCTGGCCACCAGAGAACAGCAGCACCTGCACAACATGAACAAGAAGGACGTTATCCGGGCCACGGACTTCAACTTCCTCATGGTCCTTGGCAAGGGATCCTTTGGCAAGGTCAGTCAAAAGTCTCAAAAAGCAAATATGAACCAAACACTGCTTGCAAAATGCATTTTCAGCAGACTATATTGATTCAGCAAGTGTCTCTATACAGCAAAATTCAAGGGACCAAAAAGAAAAAACAAGGATTTGCTGTGGGGTGAATTTCATTGTGGAGAACATCTACAACATGGGCAGAGAACCCTATGGAACCAGAAAAAAATAATTATTACACAGAGGAATCAGTTGTTGACAAGATTGCTGTAGAGAGAGTCCAGCTACAATTTAAAAAAAAATGGGTTTGCAGCTGTGAACATGATTTGACAAGTGAAAAGCAAAAACATCAGATGTAAACTCATGCACAGAAATTAGTTTATAATAAACATTGCTTCAAATATATCAACAATTTTCAGCCAAGATACTTCTCAATTCTCAGAAGGCAACAAGTGGGGTTAAAGGTAAGAACATGATTTGACACTAGGAAAGTAGCAAGGACAAGTAAAAGGCAAAACATGAGATTTAAGCTCATTAGAAACATTGCTTGGAATGGAGTGTTATCCTAAGTTGTCAGAATTGCTCAAACTAAATACAAATGCATTGAAAATCTTCATATTGCAGAGCAATTTACTTTGTTCTGATATTACCCATTAGGACAAAGTAAGTCAAGAAGTATCAATTTTTATGGTGTTATCCTTAGTTGTCAAACTTTCAATTGGAATGAGGTTCTATAGTGCATCAAATGTCTTTTCTGCTGTTTGACCCAAACTGCTTTGGAATTACCCTTTAAAATACTGCAGATCAAGAAGTAATTAACTCTACAGCCTGGGTGAAGTGAAATAAAGCTACTGATCTTAAATGTGCAACAAATACACATATTCCATAGGCTGGACCTTCTGCAGTAAATGCCAGACCAACAATGAATACCAAAGATGTGCTTGGTCACACTTCTATAGATTTGTGGGACAACAGTTGAATGACTGGTTGCAAACTGAAAGAAAACCAGGATGGGCATGAGGCATCTCACTGCCAAGCACTGTTATGTACTGCAGTTTGTATGTGCACACAGTAAAAGTGTGTCAGAGGAGATTCCACAGCAACAGGGTGTTATAAACATATTGCAGGGCACTCAATTAAACCCTGGATGACAATGGCTGGGGTGAAGTGAAATGATGGAACTTCTCATTTAGCAAGTGCAAATACAGTGGCCCCCTGCCTAACAGACCTCCCGTGTAAGGGATTTTTGCCAAACAGACCAGCTCTGCAAGCATTTTTTCCTCCCACCCAACAGACAAAATCCGCAAACAGACTTCTTTTNCTCCCGCCCAACAGACAAAATCCGCAAACAGACTTCTTTTGGTTTAAAATTAGTGTTGAAAATTGAAATTTTTAATTTTTATGTAATTGAATTTGTGTAGAGGACTTTTTGTCTAACAGACTCGTCCCTTGCACGAATCAAGTCCGTTAGACGGGGGTTGACTGTATAAATTTCCCAAATGCAACTCATGCAACCAAGACCAGACCTACAATGCATATTGTTGGAGTGTTTGGACACATTCATTTTTGACCCTGTGTCTCAGACAAGGAAACTACCTGACCAGGCATGAACATGAAAGGAACTGAGTCAGCCAAAAGTCAGACAACCACTGACCAAACACAATCCCTTGAGCAAGACTGTTGCTAACCAGACTTGAAAAAGTACAGGAGGGAAGAGGTACAACTATAATGTAGTATTGTTGGTTGCATTGCAGGATACACTTAAACCTTAGGATGACAGCAGAATATGAAGAATTATCTGCCAGCTGATTGTCTCAAAGGTCAGAAGACAAACAACTCCTTCCAGATGTAATGATAATGTCTTATCACAGAAACAATTTGATGTGGGAAATATTTTTTTTTAACATTTTGAATGATGACAAGCAGCAAATAAACCTTGTTATCAATGAAACTATCAAGGAAACATCTTTATTTTTCAAAGTTTCCCAAGAATTCTTGATTCTCTTTTCATGGGAATGAGGTTCTAGTGCATCAAATGTCTTTTCTGCAGGATAACCTAAACTGCTTTGAGATTACCCTTTAAAATACTCTAGAATTCTAGATCAAGAAGTAATTTCCTCTACAGCCTGGGTGAAGTGAAATGAAGCTACTCTTTAATGTGCAACAAATGAATGTGTTTAGTGAAAGAGCAAAGGTATTTTTTCAAGTTTTGTTGGAGTTTTGTGACAGATGCAGGAATCTTCAATATTTTCAGAAAATTCCACACTTCATTTATAAATTTCCAATGAGTTAAGGTGCTATGCTGAAGAAGAATCTTTCTTCAGTTCAAATGTAGTAATAGCATTTTCAAAATTATCCTGAATTTTATGTGATTTTCTGTAATAATCTAGTGCCACTCAGATGGACAATTTTATCAAAATTCAGCACTGAAAATACAGCCATGTCTTGCTCAAGAGGAGATGCTGGTACTTGAACAGGTACTAAACTGAAAATTGGTTGAATTCTGGTTCAATTAATGTCTAAAAATAAAATTTGAATGTTCACATATCTGAAAATTCACACTTTTTGTCACTAAAAACAGTGTGCAAATAAACTCAGGGATACAATTTTATCAAACTTTCAGCCTGAGAACTCATGTGCATCTCTTACTGAAAGGCAAGTGGTTCTTATACGTTATAGTTTTAACTTTTAATCAAGTTAAGAACAATTTATATATAAGTTTCATTTTAAACCCACCATAAAAAGAACTTTATGACATAAATTTAAAAACTCACTTGATTTTCCCCTACGAGTAGTTTCTCAGGGATAAAATCACAATTTTAGACTGAACACCTTGATATATGTCTTACTTGAGGGCATGTGGTACAAATTGAAAGTCAGCTGAATTCTGTTTAAATTGATGCACACAATTCCAAATTGGATGGTCTTATTTTTGAAATTTTGCAATTTTTTGGGTCACTAAGAATGTGGTGCACATCTTTTTCTGGAATACAGTTTGATCCAAATTTCTCACTAAACATCCTGGTGTATGAATGTGGTAATGATTTTAATGTCACAAATTTAAAAATTACTTGCATTATTATTTATATTCAAATTTGGGTGTTCTCACTTTTGAATTATTGAAGCAAGTCACTAAGATGGCTACCAAATACTGTACAAGTTTGTCAAAATTTTAGACTGAGGAGCCTTGGTCTTACTCAATGACATACGGTATAAATGATTAAATATACTGCAACTATGCTGTAATCTGTATGTTTAGATGCTGACATTCTGGTTTATGTAGAACAGAAAACCTGCAAGAAAGTAGTGCCCTTATTCATGCACAGAATACCCAAGTAAAAAAAAAAGGTGAAAAAAGAGAGGGAGTTAAATTTGAACACTTGGTGCAGATGTTGAAGAAAGATGCATGTGTCTGGGGGGCCATTTTCTGTCCAAAAGATTGAAAATGTGCCAAGCATTTTTTGATCACTATCAACAACCAGTTTTTTCCTGGCTGCTGGATCAATTTCCCCTTGCCTTATCCTCTCATCTTCATCTTGCCCTTCTCCTTTCTATTCTTAATACTCCCTCTTTCTGAGGCCCAGAAAGAGCATGATGGCAATCATGGACTGGGAAAAGTACCCTGGCAATGAGGAGTTCTCCCCAAGGCTGATCAAAGAAGTTCTTGTGACAGGACCCATGGGACCCCTTGGCTGGGGTTTTCTCACAGGACTTGACTGTGCTGTGGCCATTGTTATTGTGGAGAGAAAGCAATGAAGGAAAAAAAACCAGTGAAGGGGGTGGGGTTACTTTTCTTGGAAATCTAATTTGGATGATAAAAAGTGCCATCCACACACAAACTTCATTGTGAAGAATCATTACTCTCTTTCTATCCCATATTATCTTTCCTTATTCTATATTTGGTTTTGTGATTTGGATTTTTGCACAAATATGTTTACTCACTTGTGTATAGCATTTTTGGTGTTCCTGGGGAATCATGTTATTTATTTACCAGCAAATTACATTATAAAATTTTTTCTTGAAAATTCTATTGAAACATGCATTTCATGTGTCCTCTTTAATGCATATCCTTGGTAGAAAAGTGGCCAATTGCCTGGTTTTTTTCCCCTGCATCTTCATCACCACCATTTTTTTTTTAATTTGATTCATGCCCCAAAAAAAGAGCGTGAAATCTGCATCCTTATCAAACATTTTATGCAAATATATATGCACCCATTTTTTGAGCTCAAGAAGCATAAGGGAGTGCTTATATTTGCACATTTAAGCAATTTGCATGAATATGCATCAATATCAGGAAATCTTAATGTTTTTGGCCCAGAAAATGATCAAGATCTTTTTTCTTCAGTTATTTTGGAATTGAAGTTGAAGATAAGGAAAAATGATCATCTTTCATTGCTTGAATTTGCATGAATCATTGACTGAAGGGGAGGAAAAAGTGTTGTGTGAAACAGTTTTTCTGGGGAAAACCTAAATTTTGTCCATTTCAGGATTTCTGGGAAGTATCTGGAGTGATGCAATTTGTTTAATAATGGCATTTTAAATTTCTGCATGAAAATATACAGGAGGAGGAGCGCATAAATCTATTTGCATGAATACAGCAATAATGAGGGAAATCCTTGAAAAAATCAGTAAAACACTGTTTTGCCCTTAGGAAGGCCATTTAGCTTCATTCATGATTTATATTGCTTCATCATTCATGATTTCTACTGCTTCATTCATGCTTTAGATTGCTTCATTTCTTTGCCAAGGCAGATCCTTTCTGCTTTTTTTTGTCAGGGGAGAATTCAAATGTCAGGAGAAAACATTGCTTCTCTATGATGCAACAGTATTGTTTTGATGAGATTATCTTTGATGTTCTCCACATCCATCAAGAGAATTGAATTTTTAGTATCAATATGTGATGAATTATGAAGTTATTCCAATAAATGTAAAGTGCAGAGCATGGGAATGGTTAATACAGCTTATTGGCAATCATAAAAAGGAATCCATTGTGATTATGGTTGGGCAACAATTATCATGAGGGA